CAGGGAGGGTTTATGATGCTTCCTCCCCAAATCAGGACCCCTCTGCCCCCTCCTTTCCTCCCCCGCCCCCCCGCCCACCCCATCTGCCATGATCCCCTGGAAGAATTTGCCAGACTCAGCCAGACTCAGCCCTTACTGGGCAGCCCCAGGATCAGGGCCCCAGCACAGCAACTCTGCTTTTGGGGACAAGCTGGGGTGGGGTGATGGAGGATTGAGCCCAAACCATCCCCCCCTTCCCTCCCAGCCCTCTCCACCATGGCCAGCTCCTTCCAATACTGCCCCTCTCTTCTTACAGGGCCCTATTTGTACAGCACCTGGCACCCAGCATGTGGGGGCAGGGGGCAGGAGCTGATGGCAATGCCCCCCCACGTGCGTGTGCGCTAGTGCACTCACACACACACACAGAGAACAGGGGCTGAGTTGGGGGGGGGGTGGAGGTGTCGTGTCCCCCACAGCACAGTGTCCTGGAAGCAAGATTGGAGCCCTACTTCCTCCCTGCACAGCGCCCTACACCCCCCTGGATACCCCTAGATGCCCCCTAGATACCTACACCCCGCAAGATGCCTAGTGCCCTACACCCCACATCCCTGCGCAAGGAGACACAACCCAGCGCCCTGCATCCCCAGCTGCCCACACCCCTACCCATTGCCCCTGCCTCCCATTCCTCCTGCCCCCTCCCCCAGCTAACCCCCCTTACTGCCCCCCTGCCACTGATTGCCCCCCTAATCTCATCTCCACCACCTGGGCCTTGTCCTCCCGGAAGCTGAGCCCGGGTGAGGGAGATAATTTGACCAACTTTGGGGCTTTCACATCTCATTGTCCCCTTGTGGGGGGGAGTGGATTAATGCCCCCATCTTGCTTTAGTTCCCCCACAGCAGAGAAAATCAGTCAAGGGTGTTATCTAGGGCCTCTCCCTGCCCCCACCCCCAGCCGGCTCCTGGGACCTAGTGTGCAGGCAGCCTTTCACATGCATGCACACACCCGCCACCCTCACACACCCCCACACCCCATATACCCTCATCCTCCCCACGTCCCTCTCACACACACACAATATATAAGTGTTAGACTTTATATGGAGCTATTATGCAATCATCTCTACATCCACGATTCAAAAAGCCATAAATCAGGACAAAAAATTTTTTTTTAAAATAACATTAAAACATGTTACCATTAAAATATGTTCGGTTTTTAGTATATGACTTGTTTTTCATCTATAATTTGGTAAAAAGATATCTTGTGAAAGATAGGGGGGCAGGGGCATAATCAAGTGCCCCAAGGGTAGGGAGGGGTGCTGGCACCACAAAGGAAGCAGCAACAAGACAGAGCTCTGAAGCACCGCACCAGTGGGAAAGGCAGACATGGATGTCCCTCATTCATTTGCCCCAGCTGGCAGGGGTGAGGGGTCCCAAGGCTGGGGGAGGTGGGGCGGCAGGAAGGTGCTCCCAAGGTTCCCAGAGCGAGAGATAGGCACAGTGGGTCTATGGAGCCAAGTGGGGGTGAGCTACTCCTCTTCTTTCCTGCTCCGCAACAGCATCTTTCCCACAAAAAGCCCAGCCCCCAAGACACCCAAGAGGGCAACACCGGCCGCCCCAGCAGTCACAGCATCCCGGACCTGGAGAGAAGAGAGGGAGCGGTGAGTGGGGGTGGGGTGGGGTGGCAGGTAGCAAGACGGGTTCAGAGCCAGGACGCCTGGGTTCCCTGCCCCGCTTTGCCCCTGCTCCAGGCCTGTTTCCCCTCTGAGGCTCTATGGAGATGGCTTGCTGGGGGACTGGAAAATGTGCAGCACCTGGCACTGTGGGTCCCCTATCCTGGACTGGGGGGTCTGGGCAGAACCCACCCAATCCTGGCTAGGGGGCAGATCTTGGCTGGGAGTTGGGTCTGGGATAGGGAGAATCCCAATCCTGGCTGGGGGTCCTAATCCTGGCTGGGGTGGAGGGTCTCAGATGGGGACCCCAATCCTGGGTGATGGGGACCTACTCCTGGCCCAAGGATGGGGTGTCCTGGGACAAGAAGGGCCCCAATCCTGGCTGGGGTAGGGGGTGTCAGTGGCAGTGGGAGGCCCTGATCCTGGCTGCAGGGGGTGTTGCAGTAGTGGGGGGGGAAGGGGGCAATCCTGGCTGGAAGGAGGGTATCTGGGACAAGAGGGTCCTGATTCTGGCTAGAGGGGTGTAATCCTGGCTGGGAGGGCCCTGATCTTTACTGGGGTGGTCTGGGATTAGCATAGCACCAATCCTAGCATGGGGGAGAACATCCTGGCTGGGGCGCGGGGACTGGGACAAGGCAGCCTCAATCCCAAGGGGGGGGGGGGGCGCCCATCCCAAGGGGGGGGGGCGATCCCGGTTGTACCCTCCCACCTGCTCGCTGCGGGCGACACCATAGCGCAACTGGGTGACGAAATGCTCGCAGTTCTCCGTGGTGATGCTGTAGGGCAGCTCCTGGCCCACCTGGGCCTCAGCCTCACGCACGATGACCTCGCGGGGCCGCGGTTGCAGCCGCTGGTCGTGCAGGTTGTTCACCCGGTACCGGTCTCCTGCCATCACAGTCCAGAGCAGCTCCCGGCACACCACCGCCTTGTCCGTCAGCACCGAGAACAGGCTGGAGAATCCTGCATCCGCTGCCTCCCCTGGGGGTGGACCAGACATGTGTGGGCAGGGGCAGGGGCAGAGGCAGGGGCAGGGGCAGAGCTTCCCAACCCATTACCAGGGTTTCCACTTCCATCAGAGCAAAAGTAGGCACATGGGTAGTTAGCATGGAATAAATGTGGCCACACATGTAGTTAATACAGGATAAACATGGGCCCGTGGGTAGTTAACGTGGGATAAGAGCAAGCACACAGGAAGTTAATAGGATAATTGCGGGCACATGGGTAGTTAATGCAGGATAAATGTGGGCATAGTGGTAGTTAATGCAGGATAATTACAGGAAGTTAATGTGGGATAAGAGCTGGCACATGGTACCTAACGAGATAAATGTGGACACATAAGTAGTAAATGCAGGATAAGCGCAGGCACATGGGTAGTTAATGTGGGATAAACATAGGGACACAGGTAGTTAATGTGGGAAAAGTTCAGTGGATAGGTAGTTAATGCAGCATAAACTTGGCCACATGGGTAGTTAATGCAGGATAAGTGCAGACATAGGGGTAGTTAACAAGGGAGAAGCACAGGCCCAAGGGCATAAGTGTAGGCATATAGATGAGTAACATGTGATAAGCATGAGTGCCCTGGTAGATAATGTGGAATAAGCATGGGTACACAGGTAGTTAACATGGGATAAGCATGGGTTCATGGGTAATTAATGTAGGATTCATAGATTCATAGATTCATAGATGAAGGGACCTCAATAGATCATCGAGTCCGACCCCCTGCATAGGCAGGAAAGAGT